TATGTTGTAGCCTTGGCAACTAGGCGACGAGCTCATTAATTTGTCACATTTTAGGCACTTTGCTAAAATAGACTAACTGATTCTGAAGCATAATACACTTTGTTTTGTTTAAAAAATATCGGGAAAAGTCGTTCAATGAGTGTCCACTTCCGCCTTTTAAAATAAACTACAACTACCATGACTCTACTGAACCGGAAGAGAGAAATGTCACATTTTGACGTGTTCAAATAACACAGGAGTTTGCGGAGAAAGAAGATTTCATCTGAAACACAAACAGCGGCTAATGTTCAAGCATGCTCCTCTCATTTATTCGTCCCAATAACTGAGCCGTATTATTTATTTTCGTTTTTTTTTTTTCGGCCGTCAATCATCATGGGGACTGCGTTTGCTGTGGTCCTTGTTTTTGTCGGCTGTTGTAGCAATGTGGTGTCTCTGGAGCTGCTGGTGAGGTCAGTCACAAACTTAAACCGGGAGCCATTAAAGTTTACGTTAATGAGCATAAAACATTTCTAGTTGGAGTTTAGTTGAAGCGGGGAGGTTCAGGTTTATGTACGATTGTGTCACATCAGCAAGCTGTACATATTTATTTCCTTTAGGATTCCTAAGCAGAGTGTAAATGGGGTTCTAAGTGAATGTGTAGTTTCTACATGAGTATGAGTGTATAGTTGGTGTGTTAAAACAAAAACTAACCGCAAGACACCTCTCAGTATCAGTTTTCATCAGTGGATAGAAATAATTTCCTCTAAAATTGACAAACTTTCATTAGAATCAGGTAAGAGCAGCACTAAAGGGAGAAGAGTATAAATATTAAATAGTAAAACTTAACCTGAGCAGTAAATATCTATGAGCAGTCCATTCCCTTGGCAGCAAATTAAATTTTCACTTCTAAAACGTCTTGGAAAGTTTTTCACCGCTCTTCAACTTTCCCTCTTCCTTGTATTTTGGGTGACAGACCAACCCCAGGTAGAACATATCTGTAAAGTGGAAGGAAAATGACGCATGTCTTTTCAAAACGTTTAAAAAAAAGAAATGGTAATCTGCATGGCATGGAGAGCCTACAGACTGAAATGTGTTCCCATCCCTTCTTGCAAAATAGCTCTATCTGTGTCCCTTGGCTGGAGAGCATCAGTTTTCTAAGTTTGACTGCATGTGATCCAATGGATTTAGATCCAGACTTTGACTGGTCCATTTTCACATAGGAGTGTGGTTTGATGTAAACTACTGCAGCTCTGCTTCAGTGTTTGCAACTGTTTTCTTCCAGCATTCTGTCCTCCTTGTTGCTTCCCCCCCAACCCCCCCACCCCTTTTTTTTTCAGGTATCCATTTTATTTATTTAGTTAACCAGATGAGTCGAATGTGAACCGGTTCTCATTTACGACAAATGGCAAGAAAGTTTGGTTTGTTCATTTGTCTCAATGATGCCGTTTGTTCACTAGCAAACACCTGAAGCCTTCAGAGTACAGCTGCATTCATACTGAGACTTTATCATCAATTCAGTTTTTTTTTTTTTGTTTGTTTGTTTTTTTTGTTTTTGGCCAATTGCTTCGATTAACAATACAGGATTTCACAGATTAAAATTTGATACAATACAAATCAGACTTTGCAGATTTTTATTAGTAAAATAAATCTTGAAAACCTTTTCTGCTCATTCGTTTTCATAGTTTTTCTCCACTTTACCTCGGTAGATCACAAACGAATGTAATCACAATACATTGAACTTTGTGGTTGAGACGTGACCAAACATAGAAAGTTTCGAAGGACTTCAATACTTTTAGCGTGACACTGTATCCATAAACTCGCTCTTCTCTTATTGAGCATCCCTTTTTTTTTTAAAGCAATAATTTCAGATTATTTTGCCTCCGTTTTAAAGCGACGTTTCTGTTTTTCAGAGAGTTTCCAGGATGCGGCAACATAGTCACCTTTGCTCAGTTCGTCTTTATTGCCTTAGAAGGTTTCATATTTGAAACTAAATTTGGGAGAAAGAAACCAGCAATTCCTGTCAGGTAAAAAACAGTTTCATTTAAATGAGACTAATTGCTGATATGGAATGAAATCATTCTTCTTCTTTTTTTTCAGTAACTATGTTATCATGGTGACCATGTTCTTCACTGTCAGTGTGATCAACAACTATGCTCTTAACTTTAACATCGCCATGCCACTCCACATGATCTTCAGATCAGTAAGTGTCGCGTCTTGTTGTCATTTAAGCTTCCTCCTGTTCTCCTCCACTGCTTTTGTTTAAGCTTCCCCTCTTTTTCCACTCAGGGATCACTAATAGCCAACATGATCCTGGGAATAATCATCCTGAAGAAGAGGTGATTCTTCCTCTGCTTTTCCTTCTGCTTTGTCAAATGTCTTCCTGCGGATTCAGTGCATCTCACCTTCTCTACCTGCAGGTACTCAGCCAGCAAGTATCTCTCTATTGTTCTAGTTTCCACTGGCATCTTCATATGCACCATCATGTCAGCCAAACAAGTGGTGAGTCCTCTGCAGACATGTTGTGTTTTCCAGTTCAACTGCTGTTACGCCCCAGTAATAATCCAGAGCATCTACTGGTTTGTTTCAGCATGACGTGTCCAGTGATGGGTCGAAGGAGCAAGGGCTTTATGCCTTTATGTACTGGCTTATTGGTGAGTGTCGGTTAAAAAAACAGAGCAAGAAATGCAGGAGAAAAATCTCTCATTTTTGTGGCAAAACATATTTCGTCCTTTACTGATTTCTCTGTTTTATAATGATTTGACCATGATATTTGGAAAGTTAAGTTCAATTTGACGAGACAACAAAAAACAACAACAACACAACCTGTGTATAAATACGAAGTAAACTAAAAGATCTCAAAAAGCAAGACATCATTTCTTAAATTAATGAGATTCAAGAGTGGAGCAGAAACAAATTTAGCGACCTCTACCACTGTGGGAAGGGTTGCAAAGACATTTTTAAGGCTGCTGGAACTACGGCAAACCGGTGCGAGAGACATCACCCACAAACGGAGGAAATATGCAATGTTCCTGTGACTGGGTCAAAAAGGGATCCAGAACAAAATGTGAAGCAGTGAGGCAAGTGCAGGCCTCACTTGCAGTCTGTATTACAGCAGTTCGGAAGAAGCCTCTGTCTGAAGACACTGTTTTTATAGAACAGCCTCCTGAAGAGGACAGTCATGGTTGTCAATAAAAAAAATTGGAGCGTAAAGAACACAGATGCTCATCTCATCTTTAACCGAAAAGCATCTTTAAGATTATTAAGGGGAAACATTTTGTGGACCAAGACAAAGCTAAAAGTTTTTAGATGTGGTGGCTCTGGTTATATCTAGCAAAAAAATAACAGCATTTGAGAAACAGAACTTCACACAGTCAGACATGGTGGCGGTAGAATAATGCTCCGGGACTGCTGGTTGCAATTAGTTCATAAGCTTAAGCTAAAAGGGTTAAGCAGCAGAACATTATCAGCTTGCCTTTCTGTAGCGACTTTTACACGCGCGGCTTTATCTTCAATCAGGCATCGCCATGTTGACCTTTGCCCTGCTGATGTCTGCGAGGATGGGCATTTTCCAGGAGACGCTCTACCAGCAGTATGGGAAGCACTCCAAGGAGGCGCTCTTCTATAACGTAAGCGTTCCTCTGACTCAGAGGGAAAACGTCTGAGTTGGTTCGTTTTAATCTAACATCTGCTCGTGTCTTCAGCACTGCCTGCCTCTGCCGGGCTTCCTCCTTCTGGCCACTAACATCTACAACCACTGCATCCTTTTCAATGAAAGCAGTGAGTTTAAAGAGATTAATAATTCAATTCTTACTCGGGAATACACGTGTTTGCGTTACACATCTCGGAGGTGAACAAATTCTTTTCACTGTTATTGTCTTTGCTGCAGCTCCCGTTCTCGTTCCTGTGGTCGGGCTGACCATGCCGACAATGTGGCTCTACCTGCTGATCAATGTCGTCACACAGTATCCTGTCGTTTGTCTGTTTTTCTTCCCTACGTTGTATGGATTGATGTGTCTATCACAGAGCTGTTTTTACATCATTTACACCAAAAATGTTTGAATATTTTCACTTTTGCTTAACATGGAAGATCTACAATTTTTTTTTTTCCCCACGAAAAGGGTTCCTACAGTTAGAATAATGTTAGAACTTTTCATTATTTTAGTTTTGGTTTTGATACCTAGATTTGAGTTAGTTTTCCAGTGCTCGTTGCACAGAATATTGTCCCGTTTTGCTTTTCTACTCTTCGTCAAACAGCAGAACTGTTAACATTTCCTGATTAGCCTGTTTGGCTAGCGTACCTGCAGACCATTTAAAACATGGTGGTCCTATTAAGAGCGATTTGGTGGGACTCCATTTGTTTCCTCACCATGACAACAGCTGACTTTGGGTTTCATTGTAAGCGAGGGAAAAGTGTAGGATCCAAAACTTTGACTAGTTACAAAGGTGTTGAAGTACTTAAGAGTTAATTTTTTCCTCTGAGGCACATTATAGAAAAGCCTTCCTGGTATTTTTTTATTTTTATTTTTTGACCGCTCTTTCAGTCTTGTTGCAGACCTTAACCCTATTCCCAGGTACGTGTGCATCCGTGGCGTCTTTATCCTGACCACAGAGTGCCCTTCGCTGACCGTCACCCTGGTGGTGACCCTCAGAAAGTTCGTCAGCCTCATCTTCTCCATCCTTTACTTCCAAAACCCCTTCACCGCCTGGCACTGGGTGGGCACAGCTGTGGTTTTCATTGGCACCCTGCTGTACACGGAGGTTTGGAGCAGCATGCAGGCGGCTCTGCGGGGGGCCGGAGTCAAGGAGAAGAAGGCAGAGTGACGAAAGTGACGAAGGAGAGACTGCCGGCAGATTGTAAAGAGGGGGAGGAGGGGGAAATCTGCCCCCTTGGGCAAATTTGAAATGTTTTTAAATCTCCTGTGGTAGTTTTATACAAATACAGTCATTTTGTTTTCATACTTGATCTTACATGTTTCACCAACTGCAGTTTAAAGGAGGTGCTGATGATGCTTTTCAGTGATTAAATGTCATGAAAAGACCAAAAATGGTGGACAGCGAATCTTTTGCAACCCCGTCAGCGTCCACGCCTCTCTGAATGGAGCGCAGACGTTATGAATCGACATTTGGTTTTTTGACGCTTTCTTAGCCACACCTTGCTAGTGCCGCATTGAACTGCTTCCCATCATTTTACCACCTACACGAGCTGCTCTGTTGGAATGAGATCTGCAGACTAGAAAACGCTAAAGTTCACTAAACTCAATTTCATGTTTGTAAGAAACCAGTGTGAGATGATCTGAGCTTTGTGCATCATCCTGTTTGAAGTGGCCATCAGAAGAGAGGTACACTCTGGTCCTAAAGGGACGGATGTGATCACCAGCAATAATCAGGTCTGCTGTGGTGTTTGAAACGATGCTCAGTTTGTAGTAAGAGGTTTATGACACCACCGTCATCAGTCTGAGAGGTTGTCATATGCAGGTTGATCCGGATCTGACCTCTTCAGCTCGCCATCACCGCTCAGAACATGCAGGTTGTCACCTGTTGCATGAATCTCTAATCCAGCTCCAGTAGACAAGGTTTTTAAACTGCACAACAGTTTAGCCTTAAAGTTTTGCTTCTTCTGTTCCAGAAACTTTCACGTGTGTAGCACTCCTCAGTACGCTCCATTCTTACACTATTTTCCCCTTAAGAAGTGTTTAGACATGACTTTTTATTTTCTTTAGCAGTTTATTGTGATTTGACTGGTCGTGTTATGCAGAGCGGTAAAGATAAATCAGAGTTTTACTGTATAATGCCAACCAACATTTACATTTGGGGCCCACGTTGGTTGAAATGGGCTGTGAAAGCAGATAATTGCCGCAATTTAGGCCTGTGGCTGCAAAGTGAGACACATGTTGGGGCAAAATGTGATGCATAATTTGTAGAAATGGTCTTAATTTCTGAAATCTGACCACATCCTACATAGGATGTCCTGCATACACTAGGGTGCATTTCGTCAGGCCAAGCAAGAAGCCAATCCGAGCTCGCAAACATTGGCTCGGGTGAAACATGAATCCAATATTTTGGTCTTTTCATGATTTTTTTTTTTTTTCAAAAAAACACAACTGTCACCAGATCTACTTTTTTGTTTTAGCATTTGTACCTCAGTAGCATTCATTGACCAATGGTGCAATTTCTTTGTCTTGTCTGTAATAATGCTGTTTAGATATTTTTATTTAATTCTTTTTTGAAAGCGTGAGGTTAATCCGTACTGAATCATGAGTATGCAGGTTATTTATATGGCTCCTTGCTCTTAGACCATGTTGTCTCAGGTGTGTTGGACCAGTGTCAACAATCTCTACACTCCGAAATTAAACTAGTTTTAATAAATCGCCGGGTCTTGTGGCTTTTTAAAATAAATATTATGCTACATGAATGCCCCCCCCCCCTCTCTTCCAGCGCTGGGACAGACAGTTCCCTCACGGCTCACTGATTTTTAAAAGCCATCGGACCAATCCACACAGCTGTAGTTCAGCTCCATCCAATGGCAGCGCAGGTTGTTCCCACGAAGAGGTGGGAGAGGCCGACTTGGAGCAGCTGTGAGAGGATTGATCATCCACATCACCTGAATTAATTCGTTCGTGTTAGGGACTGAACCGCGGGGTTCGGTGTGACCCAGCAGAACCGGATGGGGGGAAACGTTCCGAGCCGCTTCCCTGCGGAGGATGAAGGAGGAGGCGGGGTAACTTTCGTGAAGGGCATACGGGTGAGTGGAAAGCTCCGTGGAAACCAATGCAACTCTCCGCACGCTGTTGCTGAAATTACGCGTCTGGGGGATCGAGCGTCAGAGCTGAGGTTTAACTTGGAGTGGGGTCCACGATCCGTGCCCTGCCTGGTGGTGTCGGGTTTTTTTTTAAAAAAAAGACAGAAACTGAGCTCCCCGAGTTTGTTGTCACTGTGTTTCCTGCAGCTCCTGTGATAAATTTAGATGGAGCATAGCTTGTTGTCACTCGCGTTCAGCGCAGAAATAAGACGCACGACGCGTTTCTTTTGTAACTTCGCTGGGGGGTTAATGCGTTTTTCTCCCATAACATTTGGTCACCTTGTGCTGGTATTTCAGGGTATGTCTCCACCAGCTTTGGAAATTTACAGACTGACATTTTTGCCCATTAGTCATATAAGAGCATTATGTGCTTTGCATAGGGGCGCTGTGCTAGAACGAGTGCCAAAAGCATGGCGTAAAAATATTTTCTAGTCAGCATTTTCTGTATTTAACAACTGTTTGTGTGTGTAAGTGATCTATGACTGAGGCAGGAAGGGCAAAGTTGTACCACCTTCTGTGCACGTGGATTTCTGTTTTATTTTATTTTATTTTTTTACAGAATCTCAATTACAAAAGTCTGTATTTTAAATAGGCCATTCTAAAACCATCCCTCTCTATATTTAGGTTTCTTTGAATAAACATCTACATCACAATAGGACCAGGCAATAAATCAATATATTGCTGATCGACACTAGATCAATCGCCCAACCCTAATTTAAATATTAGCTCCTAGCAGATACTGATCCCATTAATAAAGTATGCGCGTGTTTTTTTTTTTGTTTTTTTTTTTCTCTCTCTCTCAGCTGTCAGACAGAGTCATCAACCGGATGAAAAATTCGACAAAGACCACCTCTCACTTCTCAGCTGATCCAACAACTCAGGTTGCCGCTCCGGTTCCGGCCTCATCTGGCGAACCCTCGTTGCCTCTCCAGGCTCCTGTCTCACCTCAGCTCATACCCACTCCTCCTATTCCTCCCACATCTCCGTCAGTGGAAGCTGCTGCTCCTCCTGTCAAACTCATCCCTCCTCCTGTGACGTTCCACTCCTTCCCTCCTCCATCTCTGGAGCCAGAAACTCCACCTGCCCCTTCTTCAAGGGCTGAAAACCCCGAAGTGCCTCAATCTCTAACTGAACCACCTGAATCCAAAGAGCCGGACACACAGACTACGCCTCAGACAGAACCAGTGAAGGAACCAACGCCTTCTGAGCCAGCTGCTGCTGAGCCTCTCGAGTCTGCTGCCACACCAGTTCAGCCAGTACTCTCACCCTCACCTCTTGCTTCAGCCCAACCTGGAGCTCCTCCAGAGTCGTCTTCGGATGAAGCCTCGGCGTCATGTCGGCATGAAGAGCTCCCTGTGGCGCTCGCTCCGCCACATCTGGAAGCGCCGCCTCCTACAGAGCCACCAGCGACCACATTTCTGCCTCCTGCTGCGGAAGACGAAGAGCCTTCCTTACTACCACCGCCTGCAGAAGGTTGAGATTTTATTTCTTTATAAACAAAAGTCTTGACATGCATGTGGCTCATTAAAGTGCTGCTTGAAGGGGTCAAATTAATCACTATGCTAATGTTTGCAGCTTTAAGGTCTTCCTGAGATACAAACATTAAAACATCCCATTCAGGTGCTTCAGAAGAAATTCTCACATGTTGATTCCTATGTTGTTGTTTTTCTTTTTTTTTAATTTAACTTTAGGTTAATATAAAAAGCTCCAGTTAACGATCAATTGATTTACTAAGTTAGCGGGCGATTATTTCAGTAATTGATTCATCTCAATCAATCCAGTGAATCATTTTAGTTTCCTCCTTACCTCCTATGAAAGTTTCTTACTGATGCACATCAGTAAAGCAAGAACCAACCAAAGGTGCTGCAGTTTCATTTTAGCGTTTGAGGAGACTTCTCTTAGCATCTTGGAGTCTGTTTTCAAAATGAAACCACCTGGATGATCGGACCAGACATGTTGGCAGTCGTTTTGAACGTCCTGCACTTGCAGACTCCTTTTCAGACGGTGGAAAGGCTGATTTCTGATGAAACTTCTTTATATCGCTTACCAGACTCATAAGATTCTGCATTTTCTCTCCGAAGGCGTCGGACAGCTGCTCCTGTCTCACTTCGACCTCAAACTAAATCCCTGAAATTGACTGGTTTACCCTGGCAGGGCTGCGAGGAGGCTGCTTCAGTAACCGAACGTTGTACCTGAAAATAAAAGTTTTCAGATTTTTATGGTGTTTTTCCCAGTTAAAAAAAATTGCTGTTGTGCACAAAATAAGTATATCAACTGATATTTTTTTTGCAAAAAAAACATTGGAATGTAATATTTTCACAAACCAAATTTGTACCCTGACTTTGTTGATGCAATTTTTGTTACATTTCAACACCAGTAAGAAATTCAGATTTATATAGATTATTTTCTTGCAAAAAAAAAATAATAATAATTTTACCCATTTCCCCTGAAGTGACAGAGGAGGAACTGAGAGAGAAAATCAGAGCAGAGATGGAGGAAAGTCTGGAGGAGGAGATCAGCCAGAAGAGACGGGAGCTGCAGCAACAGTAAGGACACACTTCCCGTCATAATTTCATGTTTCTCTTTAGTTGAAATATAATAGAGCTTTTATTAAATAAAGTCATTGTCCTGATTTCTTAATGCACAAGTAAATCACAGTATTACCTCCGGGTTGGTTAATTCCACTTCTGCAATTGTTTTAAAGATCACTTTAAAGCTAACAGTTTCAGTTCTAAAAAGATTTTTACCAATGTTTTAAAAAGACCAAGAACCAAAGTAGAGAAATAAAAGTCACAGAGTAAATATAGAAACGAGCATGATTACTCATGAACTGCAAAACGGCCTAAAGGTGAGCAAATTAAGGACAATGTTCTCTTGTTTTTTGCTTTTTTTTTTTAATTGAAGATACAAAGTTTAAAAGTAAAGATATTAAAGCCCTCATGTTTTAGTTCAAGATACCAGGAATTGTTCCTTCATCATCTAAATAACTCTATTTTTTATTTTTTTCCCCCCAGTGGGCTAAAATGTCTGTGGTTTGTGTTTGCGAAGGCTGGAGGAGATCCAGGTTCTGCGGCGAGCCGAGGCGACGGCGGCGGCTCGGGCCGAGGCGGAGGAGCAGGTGAAAAAGACTCTGGAGGCGGAGAGGGCGATGAGCATGGAGAAGCTGACGGAGTCCGTGGAGAGAGGGAAGACGATGGCAGAGCACGAGAAGCTCATGGCGCAGCTTCATGTGAGCAGAGGAACACAGTCTGGACATTTTTTTTTGAATGCAACAGGATCTCTCTCTCTCTTTTGACACAAACGTTCATCTGCTTACCGTGTTTCTTTTTTTTTTTTTTTTGTCCTGGTGTCTCAGTGGATGGAGCTGAAGGTAGGGCAGGAGCAACACGATGTCTGCATGTCTCACTTCTGCATGTTTGTTCTGGTCACACCTCAAAGCTTACGGTGTTATTCAGCGCTGTGGTTTCTGTACTAAACGAAGATATATTTTTTTGTACTAATAAGCATATGGATGATGGTTAAACACACGGCACCTTGCAAAAATATTCACATCGATTGGACTCGTCTTTATTTTGGCGCTTTACTACGGCAAGCTTAGATGTATTTTGTTGAACTTTTGTGTGAATAAACATAGTTTGGAAATTTCTTTTGGTTTTTAAATTCAGCTCCCCCTCTACTAATACCTCTAAATTAAATTAGGAGTAATACAAATGCAATCCATCAATAAAAAAAAAAAAAAAAAAAACAATTACTTCCTTCTAACACAGATTTTGTGCTAATTTGTGTTGGTTTGTCTTATAAAAACCCAACAAAGTACGTTGGCCTTAACTGTAATGTTCAGGCTGCATGAAATGGCATGAAAGATAACGGGGGTTGTTTTGGAAACGGTTATGCTGATACTGACGTTGAACTCATGCAGGCTCGTCAGCTGGAGGAGAGAGAGAAAGAGATGAAGAAGCGCAATGAACTCTACAAGGAGCATGTCTCCAAACGTGAAGCAAAGGTAAGCTGAAACTTAAGAAGTTTGTCACACGTTCAGGATAGTTGAGGGAGATGGTGCGCAATAATTTTAAAACAAAACTAAGTGTAAAGTACATGCAGAAATACCTAATGAATGTATTTTATTCAATCAGTGTTTAGAGTCTGGTGAAGTTAAAAAAAAAAAGCAGTTGGAAAACTTTTAGCTTGTTGCTTTGGGACGATATAACATTTTTGTGAAACATTTAATGCAGGGATAATATTGGTATTTAGGTTTGATTAAAACCGTTCATTTAAAAAAATTTTTTTTTTTTTTTTTTGCTCCTAAATTTAACACAAATGCATTCAACAATAAAATTAAAATACATTCGCACAAGTCTCAACACAGCCTCTCTTCATTTTAGCTTTAATATTTGTACGCACATAATTTCTTACCATTTTTATTTTGGCGTGGACGTTTCCAGAATAACACCTTTTTCAGTTGTGATTTAGCAGTAACGGACGAACGTCCGAATCCGTCTGATATTTAGCCGTCGTTGGCCACTAAGAGGCAGCATTACTCAATTTTTCACTGAACCAGTGGAGGCGA